TAATGGTTTTACCAAACTGAGTGCGGACCATTTGAATAAACTCCAGTGCAATGCTACACAGTTAAGATTTCTTGCGCAGAAAATATACCCTACAATATCGAGTTGCATGATCAATGAATAATGCAAAATAACGATAGCCCATTCGAGAGGTAGTAGGAGGAGGACCCCATAAATCTGTGTGTACCAAATCAAAAGCGGCAGCATACTGTGTATCACTAGAACCAAAAGAAATCTGAGTCGTTTTTGCCTGAATGCAACTAACACAAGGAGTTTCATAAACAGAAGAAGAAGAACCCAAAACCCCAGGAAGAAGCTTATTCCGAAACATGGTTTTCAAACGTACAGAATGAGGATGGCCCAAACGACAATGCCACAAATTCCAGTCTTCCACAGAAATAGAATAAGAATGAAAATTGCTAGTAAAACTTGAACTGCCCTCGGCAACAGTAGGCGCGCCATCCACCTTAGGTCCAGGCTCCAGGGATGAACGAGACTCTAATGACTCCAAGATATATGTGCGCCCATGCTTTGAACCTTTACCCAGCATCCTCCCCGTTCTCCGATCCTGTACCATACACCCATCGGAATCAAATATAACACGACAGCCAGTCTCAGCCAACTGACCAACAGAAGCCAAATTAGGAACCAAGCCAGGAACATAAAGAGTATCAGATAACGTCAGATTAGGCTGCCGAACAGTTCCCATCCCCTTGACAGGAAGACGAGATCCATTTGCTACTTGTAGTTCAAGAGAGGGGACACTTTTCAAAGATAAGAATTTATCACGAATGCTAGACATATGATTATAAGCCGCGGAATCAAGATGCCAAGAGACCGAAGTACCTGTCGGGGGAGTAGTAGAGAAAACAGACTGCAAGGCAGAAGGCAGAACCTTCTGGAGAGCAGATTGCACAAGCTGCTCAATCGCATCCGAAGAGAGTTGAGAGGGAGCCGGAGAAGCCCCAAGCAGCCCGGCGACCTGAGGAGACGGTGACATAACAGGTACAGGAAGTTGAACACCGTACGCAGGCACTAGAGCAGATGGACGCGATCCAGTAGAGGAACGAGATCCAACAGTCTTTCCCCAACGAGCTAACGACGGGTAGTCCAGAACAATGTGCCCATCAGTTTTGCAGTAGTTACAATGGTTCCGTTTTCGGCAATGAATCTGAACATGACCTTTCTCCCGGCAGAAGTGACACTCAACATGAGGAGGAACAGGACGTTGAAACTGAGGCTTGCCTGTGCGACCAACTGCGAAAGCAGTCTCAGAACTAAAAGAACCATGATCGACCTGAGCTTGACTGCGCAACCTAGTCTCTTCGCGGATGAGCTCAGCAACAACATCATCAATAGCAGTAATGTTGCGATGAAGCAATGAAGCACGAACTGGCTCGAATTCAGGATGCAACTTGGCTAAGAATTGCATGAGTCGCAGACGTTTGCGTTCCTGAAGCATGGCGGGGGTGACCTGCCCTTTGGTGATAGCAAGAGACAACATATCTTCTTCTGTCCAAAGATGGAGTGCAGCTTGATAGTAACGACGAACATCGGAATCACCTTGGGACAGATTTGCAATCGCAGTGGATACTTCAAATTGACGAGAAGCACTCGCCTGGGAGTGGAGTGAACAGAGATGACTTCACATTTCATGGGCAGTAGAGAATGATCTCAGACTCAAGGCAATGTTGGGTTCCACCGCACCCAGCAAGATCGACGTGACCTGGGCATTATTAGCCGCCCAGTCGGCCTTTTCATTTTCAGAGGCGGACTTAGCCGGCATTGGAAGAGTGCCATCTAAGTAGGGAAACAACCTTTTTCCCTCAATAAAGATTCTAAATTGAAACTCCCATAGTGGGAAGTTCTTTCCATTCAACCTCGTAGAGACAGCCTCCTTAAGAGAATCCATAAATGCAAGATAGACAATAGATATAGCCAAGCAATATAAAGACCAATCAAGACAAGAGATGATGAGTACCGATAGAGAAGCTGAAGCAGTAGGTGACCCGAAGCAGTAGAGAAATAACCCCACAGCTAATATAAACTTGATGCCGCGAGAACCAAAGAGAGACCTGATGCCCCGAGAACCAGAAGAAGACCCAGCAGCTAGTAAAGACCCGAGACAGCGGAAACCAGAAGAAAAAAAAACCCAAGCGGATGAAACAACCCAGCAGCAGCGAAGGAACACAGACAACACGAACACAAGACGATCGAAAATTGGCAAGACTAAACCCGAAGAACCTCGTGAGGCTCTGATACCATGTCAATCTACCTCGAATCGATGAACATAACAATAAGAGACACGAGATTTAACGTGGTTCGTCCTTTCAGAAAGGCTTTACTCCACGGTGGCTAATAGGGTTCTTAGATTACTTAATCAGCCATTAAGCCATAATTCGGCTTAAATAGGCTGTCAAACACGCAAGGGTTTAACCACAAAACCCTAACGTGTGCCTGTCCGATCAGTCCACATACAAAATATATTTACAACTTTGATCCTCTAATTTACATATTCCAACAACAACGGTGGACTGGGTAAAAGCTTGGATGATTCAATAATCTAACTTTGGCGCCATGGATGCAATGAAAATAAGGAAGAACATAAGTGAATCGAGTTGTGCTAGTTCTCATGTCCCTAGGTGCGTTCATAAGTGCCCAATTGTTATTCTCGTCTCTGGAACTGGGAAGAATCCGGGGAGGAAAATTTATCGTTGTTTGTTTTGGAAGCTGAAATCAATGGATTGAATATATTTTGTTTGGGTCGATTAGTATTTTATTACCGGAGAAGAAGCTATCGTTGTTACACTCTCGGCAGAGAATGATGATATGAAGTAACAGATTCCTTCGCTTGAATTGAAATTCGAAAGTTTATAAAATTAGGTTGAGCGACGAAAGAGGGCAAAACAATTGCTAAACCATGATTTAGTAGGGAGGATAGTTATATGTTAGCTCATGATCTGAAGGCGGTGAATAATAGATTGTTTGTTTCGTATATGCTAACAATAGTGGTTTTTACAGTTCTGTGTTTACGGTTGAAGTGAGTTGTGTAAGTATGCAATGTATCAATGCTAATCCATTGTGGTGTGTCAATGTATCTCGTTTTGTGTTAAAGTAATATAAAAATATGAAAGATAATCCCTTCCCATACCAATTTCCTTAGTCTTTCCATTGACGAAACGCGGGCTGCATTCAAAATAATATACACGATAGCCATGGTGGACAATAATATCAATAGTGCCCCCTTCCTGTACCGTTCAAGAAAGTTGTAAACAGATGCTCAACAACACATTCTTAGAGATTGTGACTGGACAGAAAAAATCCGGCGACCTAGTTTCCTAGGGAGCTTATTTTGCATAGGGGATGGAAGATCGAGTAAAGATTGGTTGAGTAAAATGATTGAGAAAGCTATAGACGAAGATCTATGTTCAATCGCGATGGCCTCATGGTTCATATGAATAGGATGTAACAATCATCTTTACAACAACATGAAACTTGAAGAAAGAGGTGTGGTTTGAAGATTGTAGCTTTACCTTAATGAATACCAAAGCAATCAATCATGTGAGTCTCTGACAGGTATGAATCATAACGAGTACAAGTGGGAAAGACCGGTAATGGGCTCCCTTAAGATCAATGTTGACGCGTTAAAGGTGAAGGGAGGAGGAACGAAGCTGGGTATGGTCATAAGAGATGATTATGGTAGTTTTCTAATGGACACGGTAAAAAGAACAAGGATCAATTGGGAATCGGAGTTAGCAGAAGCTCACGCAGCGCTCTGGGCTATCCAGGTCGTGAGAACGCATGTCTCGAAGCCTGTGTTGCCAGAGTCGGATTGTTGAACTCTAATTCAGAAATTGAACAAGAAAGAGGAGGTTGAGATCAGGGTCGGACCTAGGTTGGTGGTAGGTTTGTCAACTGACAAACCTTGATTCAATTTTAGAACAAAATTCCTTTGTAAAATTTTGATTTATTAATGATGGTATTTGAATTCAAGACTATTTGACAATCCTTGTTAATTTTGTTTCATTGTTGAACACCCTTTATATAATTCATGGGTCAGCCACTGGTTGAGATGGAGTCGGGAATTATCTCTCGAGAAATTCGAGAGTTGAGCAAGGAAATGAGTAACGTGAATTGGAAGTTCTGGGGATGACGAGAAAATTGAGGAGTACTAGAGATGGCAAATTGGCAATCGTTCTTCGCATATGGGAGGAAATAGAAGTTTGAATGGTAGGCCTCCTGTTTTTTGTATTAAATTTTGTTGGAGTAGTGTAATGACACTTTACCAAATTAATTAAAATTCCATATCTTTTTAAAAGAAAGAAAGCATTAACATCCAAATAAAAAAAATTGTCTATAGAAATCAACAATGAACACTCCATAATTGAGAAATTTCATACGAAGCCTTCTTTTTTGCGTCTATAAAATTGAAAAAGAGCCAATTGCCACTACGAGGTGAAAAGAAAGAAAAGAGGCCAAGTCTTGGCCGTGCCCTGCGGTTGGTAACGCTACAACGAGAAATAATTCATTATTTAAATAGGTTTTCTTGGGGCCTAATCTGATGCTGTCGATTCCATGTGAATGCAGTTATGGTCGATTTAACGAGCTAGTATTATGCAGATCCAACGGTCAAAAGCTCCAGATGGCTGGCTATACGCTTGGTAACCGAACCATCTGCGAGGACCGAGAAATCCGGGACAAGATCATGGTTTCCCGACCGCTGACGTGTCCTCAAAAAAGTCTGCGCTAGATACAAAAAATATCCGTACTCAAGAAAAAGCCCTATCGAAAGTATCGACCACTCGCAGGCCGCAGCTGTGCAATGTGCATGGAAAAAGAAAAAAAAAAAGGAAAAGAAATAAAGTAAACGTAAGGGCGTGCATGACAGTGCACCTGGACCAGCAACACCGCGAGAAGCAGCGAAGCAAAACCCGGACATTTCCCCGTCTAATTAACCGGAGTTCATAATCGCCGATACGTCCGGCCCTCTTTTTGGGCTGAGAGAGGTGGCCTCCGCCTGCGTTTTCCTTCTTCCGGTCAATAAAGAGTTGTAAAAAAATAAGAGAGATTCCAAGGAAAAAACGCAGCAACAACGAAGCACTACACCGAGGGAAGGAGAGAGATAGAGAGGAGTCGGCGGTTGAAGGTTTCATCCCGCAGCCGAAACCCTAATTGAGCCTTCTCTCTTCTTCTTCTACTTCTGTTTCGGTTCTGTAGCAGCCACCACAAGTGCCTGGGATTCTATGTGATGGTGCTGTGTTTCCCGTCTTTCTCGATTTGGGTGGTGTTTCGTGGTTGATTTCGATTCTTCCCTCGGTCGCGTTGTCGGATTGCTTCGGTTGATTTTGAGTGGATCAGTTGCTGTTTCGGGAGTGGTGTTGTTGTTGCTCGCCAGTCATCATCGATGGTTTAGCTATTGGATTGGTTGCTGCTGGGGATTCTTTTGCGCGTGGCAGTTCTAGGGGAGGAGGTTGTGGAAGATGGATTTGGTGAATAGCTGCAAGGTAAATTGGTTTGAATTATGGAGGCAGTAGTGTTCTTCAATTCCGAAATCTTCTCTTCTCTTCCCTGCTGCAGCTGATATCTGTTTGTAGCTAGAACTTAGAATTGTCTCGTTGCTTTTTGTGTTACTTTTTAATGGTAAAACGAAAACCCTGTTTAGAGGTTTGCTGAAGCATGCAGCAATGGGGAACCGCGTATTCATAATCGTGTTACGTTACTTGTTCAGCGGCTTCACTGTCTTATTTTTGCACTTACTGGGAACCACAATGCAGAAGATGCTTCTGCAGAAATGCTGTTCCGTTTGAGCATGTGTGATATGCTCTCGTCGAATGGCTTGCAGTTTGGATTTTTCTCTGCTACAAGAGAGTATTGGAAATGGAATAGTTTACTGAGGTGGCTACCATGTCTTGTTTGTACTCGGGCTGAAGTAGGGTAATTTGGGATTGGATTTGGAGTTTTTATATGTAACTTTCAGTGTGTTATGGGCTCTCTTAATCACATAAATGCAATCAGAGTAGTATCTTCTCTTTCTCGATTTCTTGCACTTGTTGTCGGCTGACGGGTTGAGGCATCATTTCTCTTGTAGGAAAAGTTGGCTTATTTTCGAATAAAGGAGCTGAAGGATGTCCTGACTCAGTTAGGGCTATCAAAGCAGGGGAAAAAGCAGGTTAGGTTCATGATCATTCTTTGTACCCAGCTTTAGCATTCGTTGCTAATTTGTATGAAATGTTCTTGATCAAGCTGTTCTCTTTGTTGCTGTTACTTGTACTGTACAGGACCTAGTTGATCGCATATTGAATGTCCTGCACGATGCACAAGGTAAGAGCTCCCCCAGTGTTGCATACTCACCTCTTTGCTTCCCGCCTCGTGCTTTACCTTCTTTGTTTGGCATTGTGGCTTTTGGTTCATATGGTCTGTTGATGTGCATCGAAAAGAATTTGTTTTTCGAATGTTGCTGTAGCTGTTTTCTGAAACCATGGTCTCAGAGGGAAAATACCTGTTCAGCAAGATCAGTTAAGCAAAACTATGGATTGATATTTTCTTCTACCAAATTCTTCTTTCGGAGAATGAAAATCCAACTCCATTAGTCTGACTACTGACGCATTGACATGTGCTGTCAGTTGTAGCCATTATTACCCTAATAATGCCTGAAATATATTGTAGTTGTTGCATTAGCCCCCCTTCCTCGTCCTTCTGTTGCCGCTTTTACGAACTGTTCTGTCGGGTGAGATCTGCTCATGTGAATGTGCAGATAGTCTGTCACAGTTATTTCAACATGGCATTAATGATTGTGTTACCTATGTTCAGGTTCCAAGGCGTGGCCAAAGAGGGGCGTTCTTGGAAGGGACGAAGCAGCAAAACTTGTTGATGACATTTACAGGTTCCTAATGACATCTCTTGACTTGTAAATTTATTTTGCAAATTGTCCTGCTACCTTTGGTATTTTATTATGTGACATTTTCTATTGAGAATAATTGTCTGAAGTAAGTCACACTGATCTTGTAATAAAATGTACCGTTATCGTCATCTTCAGGAAAATGCAGGTTTCGGGTACTGATTTAGCATCAAAGGCGCAATGTGTTTTGGATAGCAGCAATTCGAATCCGAAAGTTGTTAAAGGAGAACCCGAGGACTCTTTTCACCGTGATACCAAAGTTCGGTGTCCCTGTGGCAGCTCATTGGAAACAGAATCGATGATTAAGGTGATTTGCAATTGTGAAATCTTTGGAGCTGTTCCCTATATGTTTGGCACTTTTGATATTTGTATGTACTCCTACTTTATTGCATGGATGAGTTTCCATCATAGTAAACTAGATATTCTGACTGCTTACATTTCTTTCTTGGAGCAGTTATACTAGCATACCATTTGTGGGTACCTACTCTTTTAGGCGTGTGAGTTGTTAGTCTCTCTTGGGGTATGAGGAGCATGACCCGTCACATTTATTTCCAACGTGTTTTTTTTGCTGTAATATCTTTACCAAATTTGGTTATGAACCAATTGTAGCTGTTTCATTTCTTAATCACTTTGTGATAACCACTTAGGAATTTTAAGTTTTATTTTCAACTGGTCCACTTTTCTTGCACAAGCGTCTGCCAAGTGTAAGGACTTGATCCTCTTAAGAATGATTTGTAATGTGGCTTATCCGTGGAACCACTATTTTTCCAACCGCAGTGTGAGGATCCCAGATGCCAGGTGTGGCAGCATATTGGTTGTGTTATAGTTGCTGAGAAGCCTATGGAGGGAAGTCCCCAAGTTCCCGAAGTATTTTACTGTGAGATTTGTCGACTGAGCCGAGCTGACCCGTATGAATCATTTATCTACTCATTGTCATGTTTAAATTGTGCTGCTGAATTAGGTTTTCTTTTCTGTCTTTATTATTGCGAACATCTTTGTTCCAGGTGCCTTTGTGACCAGTGACATAGGCCAAACTTTGGGGTGGATTTTATCCTTGTCTTTAATTGTTGATGATAGCTATGCCTACTAGGGAAGGGGAACTAGGTGAAAGCTTTAAATCTGGTGTTGTTAAGTTTTGTTTTCTCTTGTTATTAAGGCATGTATTCATGAGCTTAGTGGCAATCTTGTTTACAGTCACTTGTATGGAGCTGAACTTTTGAAATAATACATGCTTGTGCCTTAGTTCTTAGATGGTGAAGCAGATCAGGCACAAGGAAAATCCTGTTGTGGGAACAAGATTCGACTTTTCATTTGTTTATCGACTTGTTTGGAATATTCTGTAGCTGAGAGTGAAAGTTTACCGAGTCAGCAGAAGTAAACTTATCTGGATTTAGTTGATACATTGTATATCCCTCTCTTCATCCCAATTGCTCAATAGTTGCCTAGTGTCAGAAGCTGAATACACGTTCCTTTTTTCTTAAGATTTCTTGTTTTATTCTAACTTTATGTCAGTCCGATTTCTATTAATGCATTTGTTAAAATTTAAAGGCTATATTTCTTTTCATGTCTCAGAGTATCCATGTCCTATGCATCTCACTAGTATTTGTATCTAATATGAAGTAAACTTTATCTGCAGCTTTTGGATTGCAATGGCTCATCCACTATCTTCTGTGAAGCTGGCCATAACAAATATCCCAACTGATGGGTAGGTTTATCGTTATTGTATTACTGATTTTTGAGGTCCTCGAATGGATTGTTCATATCTTTTTCTTAGACGCTTTGCATTTTGATTTGAGGCGTATATACTTGTCCAAGTTTTTCAATTTGTTGATAAACATTGAAATAGGCTAGTTTGCATTTCACTATCCATAGGGTTTGGTCTGTAGGCTCTTCTTACAGTTGTCACGTGCAGTAATTATATTTTTGGGGTGTGTGGGCATATAATATATTCTGGGAGAAATTCTGCTTGTTAGGTTTAGGAATATTGACTATGTAAGTTGCATCTCTTTGTCCTCTACCAATTTACAGGTAAGTTTGAAGGCCAAACAAAGCACTGTCTTACTTGCATTTGTTTCGTCATGCAATTAATTGATGGACTGTCATATTTTAATCGCTTGCTGTATATTTCATCTGCCTAGTATTGCTACTTATATTCAATATTCTCCAGCACAAATCCAGTGCAGAATATAGAGAAGTCATTTCACCTGACGAGGGCAGATAAGGACCTATTGACTAAGCCAGAAATTGATGTGCAGGTGGATTGATTTAGATGTTTTTCGTCAAATTTTCATTTCAGGAGGTGCCAGAAAATATGTAAAAGTGATTTGTTGTCCGTATTTTTTTTTAACTCATCGTAGGCGTGGTGCATGCTTTTGAATGACAAAGTCCCATTTAGGATGCAGTGGCCTCAACATGCTGATTTACAAGTCAATGGTATGATAATTTACCTTCTATTCCATAGAAGTGTCTATTAACTAGTTTTCTCTCTTTAGGTTTCTTGATACGACTTGTAATTTGTTTGGGTACACAGGTGTACCTGTTCGTGCGATTAATAGACCTGGCTCGCAACTGCTCGGGGCAAATGGCCGTGATGATGGTCCAATTGTGAGTTTTGGTTTGGATATATGTTATTAGAATTCTTTGTTGTATAAATAGTTGTAGGCTAGTTTGTTCGGGGTCTAGTAGAGTCAGTGGCCACGTAAAGCCTCAAGTATTTTGTAATTTGTCTTTAACCTTCTTTGAACGTCTTAATCATTGGTTAGATCACTCCATGTACGAAGGATGGGATCAATAAAATATCCTTATCTGGATTTGATGCCCGGATTTTCTGCTTGGGGGTAAGGATAGTGAAGCGGCGTACACTTCAACAGGTAAGTGTTGACTCTGTCTGAGCATAGTTGCTTGAATTGTTGAATTCCACAGTTCTAGGTCTTTTTTATCTTCCAATCTTCTCAAGATGATGGACTTCTGTTATTTATAATATGACAAGCTTTGGAATAAGATACCAGAAGAGCGTGTTTGATTGGTCTGAAGTATCTCACATTATGTACATTTATTTTTTTAATTTATCATTTCATTCTTTTTTATCTTGTATTTGGCGTGTGAAATTCTCTTCTAAACATTGAGCTGATTCTAAACAGAGCACAACACACACTTTTGATAAAAATAAGGAGCTGCTGTAGTATGTATAGTTCTGCTAAATAATCTTTAATGTTATCGTTTCAGATACTTGGGTTGATACCTAAAGAGTCTGATGGTGAACAATTTGAAGACGCACTTTCTCGTGTTTGCCGTTGTGTTGGTGGTGGAGCTCCAACTGATGGTGCTGACAGTGACAGCGATCTAGAAGTTGTTGCAGACTCCATTACTGTCAATCTTCGTTGTCCTGTAAGTGAACTTTTTTAATTTGTGTTATGAACCTTTGAATAGCTGTTCTGTTCAGTACTGGTCATCTGAGCAATTGTTTTGTGTGTTTTTAAACCGATCTCTTATCAAATTGTGGATTTTTTGTATTCCCTGCGCAGATGAGTGGTTCAAGAATGAAAGTTGCTGGAAGATTTAAACCGTGTGTTCACATGGGCTGTTTTGACCTTGATGTTTTTGTTGAGCTCAATCAGCGTTCTAGGAAGGCAAGTAACTGTTGTTCATCCCCTTATTTTTTCTTTAAGGTTCTAGTGATTTGTTCTCTGTGTCTTGAATGTTGTGTGTGGATTTTCTGCAGTGGCAATGCCCCATTTGTCTGAAGAACTACTCATTGGATAGTGTAATCGTCGATCCTTTTTTCAACCGCATCACTACTAAGGTAGTGATTTCTTGTTTAGTATTCTAATAATTAGTTTTGGTGTTTTGTGACATAAATCTTAGCATCGGGTTTTGTTTATTCTGTGTTGTTTGCAGATGAGGCACTGTGGCGAGGATGTAACAGAGATTGAGGTAAAGCCTAATGGGGCATGGCGTGTGAAAACCAAAACCGAAGCTGAGCAGAGAGATTTGGGAGAACTGGCACAGTGGCACAATCCTGATGGTACTCCATGCAGCATACCAAATGGGGAGGTTCAGTCAAAGGTGGTGGAAACAGGGAAGCAAGTCAAGCAGGAAGGTAATTCTGAAGGTCATGGTACTATTAATGGTTTGAAACTTGGTCTTAGGAAGAACCGTGATGGGCTTTGGGTAGTCAGCAAACATGAGGGTATGAATGGCTCTTCTTCAGGGAACAACAGATTGCAGCCGGATAACTTTCAGCAGAAAGTTATTCCCATGACTAGCAGCGGTACTGGCAGTGGTGAGGATCCAAGTGTGAATCAGGATGGGAATTTGGATTTTAATAATAATAGTGGAGGAATGGAACTCGATTCATTAGCTCTCAATATAGATCCTACGTATGGGTTTGGTGCACAGCATATTTCTGCTCCAGTGGCAGGGGATGCTGCAGAGATAATTGTTCTTAGTGATACAGATGACGAAGAAAATGATATACTGGTGTCTTCTGGCGCTGGCTTCAACAACAACCAGAATGATGTTGGTGCGGCTGGTTTCTCAGAGGGGACCCGATCTGGGATTCCAGAACCACCTTATCATCCCGAGGATCCTAATCTTGGCGCTGCTGCTGGAACGTCCTGCTTGGGTCTTTTCAATGACGAGAATGATGATGATTATGGAGGATTGCCCCTCTGGCCACCACCCCAGGGTGGCCCAGGGTTCCAGTTATTTAGTTCAGATGTCTCAGATCCCTTGGTTGATTTGCATCATGGTCCCACATCAATCAATGGATACAGTTTGGTTCCTGATACTGGCGTGGGACATGTCAATTTGGTCCCACCAGATACTTCAGTGGGTAGATCTGACGGGAATGGTGGGTTGGTTGATAATCCATTGGCTTTCGAGGAAGATCCTTCTCTACAACTGTTTCTTCCAACCAGGCCATTAGATTCGTCAATGCATTCCAATATGAGAGATCATCATCAGGTCGATGCATCGTCTAATAATGGTGGGCTTCGATCTGAGGATTGGATCTCTCTTAGGCTGGGAGGTGGTGCTGCCACTGCTGCTGGCGGTGGTCATGGTGAATCTGTACCACTTGCAAATGGCAGCTTAACTTCAAGACATGCGATGCCTACTAATAGAGATGGTGCTATGGGTTCTTTGGCCGACACTGGTTAGTTAGTTCTTTTCCATAAAATGCTTAATACAATTATATGGGTAGCGAAGTTGATATAGATGTTTAATTACGAGGCTTACATATGAAAGCTACCTGTGTTTGTTTTGCCAATTTACGTACTACCACCTCTCTAGCGCTTGGGTCTGATGAGTGTGCTGGTGGTTGTTGTTGTGTCTGTTTTGCAGCCTCATTACTTCTTGGGATGAATGACGGTGGCTCATCTGAAAAGGCAAGTCGCCCGAGAACTGAAAGCCCTTTCTCGTTCCCTAGACAAAAGCGCTCTGTGAGACAGCGTTTGTATCTTTCCATTGATACGGACTCTGAATAGACAACCTGCGGGCAATTGATACCATTATTTTATCAATTTTTGGGGGACAGAAGCCGTACTCTGAATTCTGGAGTGTTTCAAGTTTGGCGGCTGTGAAGTCTCCTTCCATCCATCACTCAGAACCAAGAAAACCCTCCCTGATGAAATGTGAAGAAGTCTCAGATGTCTTGAGATAATTGGCTTTCAAGCAAATTATAAAAAGGGAAAAAGTCTACAGGAGTGTTATTGAGAATCGAGTAGACATCTGAATTTTGTGCAGGAGCAGAAGTCACCTCACCCGGGGACTGGGGTTTTCGGATGCAGTAGTTCTTATGAGCGACTCTTTTTTGACTGGCAACAGGACCTGGTCCATTTCGGCTAGTGTTTTATCGTCTCTTTGGTGTTAGTATAGCCCGAGTAGCTGGGGAAAATGTACAGTAGGGGGAGGATACTTAGGTAGCAAGGTCCAAGAAAGGAAGCAGCTGATTGAATTGTGTGGTAAGTCCTGTAAGGTTGTTTTGAACCTTTGGGATGGTTAAATGGGAAATGCCAAGGCGCGACACGGCGACAGACACAGCAACCAACCTTTTCGGTGATGTTTCGTTCTTGTGTCCATCTAACGACCCAGAAATTGAGCTGAAGCTAAGTTAGCGTGTAAATGTTATTCCTGCTACATTCGGTTATAGATAAATTGAAAGAATTTTACCACGGATCACTGCAAACTGTTACTTCCAGTGCCTGTAATCGTCTCTTTGGTTTGGTGTATTGTGCACTCTTATTTGATATTTCCCAGTTGTGTCGTCACATTTCTGGATGGTCATTTTGCTACTCAATTTTCAGGCATGGTTACGTTTATGGAACAATCTAAAGAAGGCAGACATCGGTTGCTGCTTAAATGTAACATTGATCTCCCAAATTTACGACCAACTGAACTTGTTCAACACAAGAGACTAGAGAAAAGAACAGAGATGCTGAATTAGGTCATGCATACACCAGAAGCAGAGAAGTTGCTACGAACATGGTCTCTCTATGCTGACTTAGTTTACTGTTGTATTCATTCTCCAGGGGCAGAAATGCCTTGCCTGAGCCTCTCCCGCTTCATCTTCTTCTTGGAGACTGGCTTCTTCTTCTTCTTCATTTGTGACGCGAAATTCCTTTGGGCGTAACGGTATACGAGATAGTTGCTCACCATGAACAGCAGTAGCAAGCCTAAAACGATCCCCAAAACGATCATCCCATGGTTGCTGCTTTCCCCAAACTCGTTGATTATCGTGTTACCATTTTTATCCCTGGTTAGCCGACCCTGTCACACCACAGGATTTCCAATTTTAATATCTATATCACACGAAGAACCATTCATCTTTTTTTGATTATCATGGATATGACATTCAGATTCAGGGAGTGCACAGAGAAGGTTAGATCTTTCAACAAGATATGACGTGTGGTCAAGCATTTTACCAAACCTGGAAACGATTTAAAGGATCGGTGAAGGAAGTTGACAAATGCAATGAATGGAATGAAGAAAAAAAGGATGATGAAATGGGAAGGGATTAAGGAGGAGATCAGATGAGATCACATTACATTACGGATGTAATACTTCTTCTGTGGTTTGGGAGGCGACCAGCTGACGAACTCATCCATGTCCATGATCCCTGATGGCGTTGTAATTGCTGGTAGGAGAGAAATGGAGAAGCTTTGAAGACTTTCGACAGTAGAATGGCTTCTTGGATTGGGGACCTGACCTGGGTTTGTATTTATGTTGCGTGCAATGCAAATGCATGCATGTGGTTTTTTCTCCTGAAAAAGAGGCTGCCGATGACTTTCGTCCCTAAAAATAGAAAAGAGAACTAGGGAGAGAGACAGAGAGTGTGAGCCGTAAAATAAATGCAGCGGGATGGAAAAAGAAGCGCCCACCGTGGGGCTCGAACCCACGACCACAAGGTTAAGAGCCTTGCGCTCTACCAACTGAGCTAGACGGGCTTGTTGTTTAGGTTTGCATGATAAGCTTATTAGTTTATTTGTAATTCTCTTTTTACAAACCTCTTTCGTATCTTTAAGTAAATAAAAGTGATTTGATGTAAATAATTAATAAAAGTTATTTTGTCTTCTTTCGAACTAGCTCTGTGCCCGGCCTTGGCCGGGTTGATTTTTTCTAATCTGGTTGGTCTTTGTCGTGAGTTTGTTGTGCTGTTATTCAGCTCTTTGTCTTTCATGATCCAATGGTACCTCTATCGTTGTTTGTTTGTCATGTGGAAAGAGATTACACATGATTGTTGGTGTTGTATGTTGTGATGTACAAAACAATTGACTACTTTTGTTGGTCATGGGTTAATTGCATGGTTGGTCACTGAGATTACAAAAAATGTTCATGTTTGGTCACTGGAAATATTTAAATTCAATCTTGGTCACTTAAATTAGTTAAATGGTTCAAGTTTGGTCACTCTCCGTCCAACTCCGTTAAATTTGTATGATGTGGCAGTCAACCCACAAAGTTGACCGTTAACTCAGTGACATGACAATTAAAAAATAATAAATAAAATAAATTTTAATCTTCTACCATTTCCAACTCATTTTCACAATAAAGTAAAATAAATAAAACAAAAAAAATTAATACACGACAATTAATCACTAGCCTTCCCAACCATATTCACCAATCACTACGGCTGCCAGTTCTTTGGATCCAGCAACCAGCAATCATCTTCAATTCTTATCTTCTCTTTTATTTCTTCCCATACCTGCACATCTACATCATGTGCTAGCTATTATGATTTACTCAACTGTTCTTCTTCTACTGTATAAATATAGGATCAATCACTTGTAATAAGATTAAGAGAGAAACGGTCCATTCAATAGAAATCAATCTATACAGATTTCTACACCGCGCTCTCCGCCTTTCTGGACCACTGACGTCGGAGCTGGGCAAGTTAAAGAGCTTGAAATCCATGGATTTGTCCAACAACATGCTCCAAGGGGAGATTCCACCTGCTTTCGCTGAACTCAAGAACTTGACTCTCCTCAATCTCTTCAGAAACAAGATCCATGGCGCCATTTCGGAGTTCATCGGCAAGATGCCGCAACTTGAGGTGTTGCAGCTCTGGGAGAATAACTTCACCGAAAACATTCCTCAAGGTTTGGGTAGTAACGGAAGGCTCTCGATTCTGGGTCTTTCTTCCAACAAGCTCACTGGAATTCTGCCTCCCGATCTCTATACTGGTAATCGCTTATAGACTCTGATTAATCTCAGCAACTTCCTCTTCGGGCCGATCCCGGAATCGCTGAGTCAAATTTGAATGTTTAAAATTTCTTGAATGGATCCTGTTTGAACCTAACTGAGTGTAGGAGTTAGATTCGGGTGAGAGTTTGGGTCAAGAAGAACGCAAGCGTGGGGATCCACCGGAGAGAGGAGAATTGGAGGATTTGACGAGGAAGAGAGTCCAGATTTTAGAGAGAGAAGTTGTTGCTATAGAGAGAGAATGCCCAAAAAATGCGATCCCCTCACCCACCGTAGTAAATGCCGTATTTATAGGCTTCATGGTGGTGGGTGAGTGGTTGACTCAAGTGAGGATACAATGATGTGACTACTGGGATACAATGATGTGACCACTAACATACTAAGGATTTTAGGCTATGTCCTGTCCATCCCTCTACCTAGGGCGTGTTAGAGGTCTATCCATGGGCCTGATGTGACTACCTTCTGGGAGGAAAGCTGCGCTTTCCTCGTCTCTTGGTTTAGCCTACGCTAAGCTCTCCCTTAGCGCGCGTAACCCACTCCGCGCCTAAGCTCTTCGCGCCGAGACGCGGTTAACTGCGATGAGGTGTCGCGCTCGGGGTCTTCGCGCTGCCTCGTCGGGGTATATTTGGTCGCGCACTGTTCGTTGACGTGGCTGGGCCTGACTTGCTCCTTGGCGCAGCTAGGCCCGAGTCACATGCCCAACAATTGCCCCCCATCAGGGGGTGTTCTATGAACGCCCCCTGTTTGGATTTCTTCTTCGACAGACTCGGGCCTGTGCGATCTCCGTGAGGCGGGTCTTTTGGGCTTATTCCGCTCGTTTATTCCGCTTGTCGAGGTCGGTTGGCTCCTGCGTGCGCTCGCGGTTGGGTTCTTACCCGTGCGCGATACTTTGAACCGGCGACGCGTTGTACTAACGCCCGCCCGTTGTTGGGCTTTGTTCTTCTCCGTGCGCGGCACTTTGGACCGTCGTCGCGTTGTACTAACGCGCGCTCGTTGTTGGGCTTTGTTCCCTGTGCGCGATACTTTGAGCCGGCGATGCGCGCATCCCCCAGCGTGTTGTCTTCCCCGCGCGGCACGAGGCGTGTTTTTCTTTCTCTTCGCGGGTATGTCGTGCCCCCCAGGCGGTGCGCGGCACTTGTGGCGTCGCCGACTAGTGCCTATGATGGTAGGTATCCAAGTGTCACTGTGTGATTAGGCTACTTGGGCGGGGATTTTTTGAATTTCAAAAAGATTTGGTGGGATCTGACGGTTACGGATCCCTATGTGGCTTTAACCCTTCGCATTCCGCTGGCCGACTTTGGCCCTTTGCTTTCCCCTTGACCGACTATAAATATAGGGTTGTTGTGGGGAGGGAGGGTTCACCTGTTTCTTTCGATTATCGCCTCTTTTTTCTTTCCCTGAGATTTCTCTCCTCCTTTTGCAACCTCAATTCTCTTCTGCTGTTGCTAAGTTCGAGTCGGTATCATGTCTAGCATCAACAACAACGAGGCTGAGGTCGTGCAAGGCGAAGAAGGTAATTTCTCCCCTCTCTCGCACAGCTCTTCTGACCGTTCCGGTGACGGGAACGGTGGTTCTGATGATTGGAATGGCGGATCTGACGGCGGAGACGGCGGTGGTGACGGTGGGATTCCGGCGACGCCGTCGTTCGAGGCTAGGTCAGGCGATGGGGCCGGAAGCTCCTCTGATGTGGGTGTAATCGCCTCCGGGAGTGGGAAAGCGATGCGGCCAGCTCGGGGGGTACTGATCATCCGGCGTAATCAGGATGGTGGGCCGGACGTCGACGATGAAGTTGCCGACGATGGAGTCGCCGCCGATGAAGTCGCTGACGAGATGGCCGACGAGATGGCGCAGGGGGACTTTGGTGGGCAATTCGCGCCTCGCGCCGTTGAGCGCGTTACTGAGGCCATGGCCCGCCTGGGGATGCAAGGCGTCGGCGCTTCTTATCGGGTGATTGAGTGGGCCGAGATGTGGGGTGATCAGCCGGCGCCGTCGGACAACCTCAAGCGCGGGCCCGAGCACTCCTCTACATATGACGTGGACGATGTGGAGGAGTTGGTCCGCGGGCTGGGTTTGCCTCCCAATTGGGAATACGCCGCTCCGTCGGTGCGCAGCATGGTGGGCAATTGCCCCCCGGGGTGGTTCGGCGTCTACGCGGAGTACTGGGTGATGGGGTTCAAATTCCCCATCGACCCGTTGCTGTGCGCTATATATGAGCGCCTTAAGTGCTCTGTCGGGCGGCTCTCCCCATCGGTTATCATGCACGCGAGCTGTCTCCGTCTCGCGTGCAAAAGGCTTAATATCGAGCCCACCTATGGCCTATTTAGGAAGATGTACAAAATCAAGGAGGCCACGACGCGGAGCGACTGTCTTTCTATCCAGCGGCGCGACAACCGCCCCGATGGATTTGTGTATGGCTCGCCCAAGTTGAAGAAGACTTGGTTCGAGCAGT